TGTGTGTGTTGTGTGTGTGTGGTGTGTGTGTGTGTGTGTGTGTGTGTGTGTGTGTGTGTGTGTGTAGTGCGTGCGTGTGCGCGTGTGTGTGCGTGTGTGTGTGTGTGTGGTGGGCGCGCGTGCGTGCGCGTGCGTGTGTGTTGAAAAACAACTGAAAAACAGACATTTTGTGTCCGTGTAACAGATCCTCCTCGGCGTTCGAGCACACCTTTGTGGGGGAGACGCGCTGTGGCCACGTCATCGGTTTCCACAACTGGCTCCGCCTCTACGATGAGGAGCGCCGCGGAAACATCCGGCACAAGGGCTGCAGGGTGAGTTGTGCCGTTCCTCAAGTTGAATAAGTCTTACAGTTCAATCAATGATAAAATATAAAGGTTATGTTTTGATACTTCAATCCTGATGCTACAAAAGTGATATATCTACTAGTATCATCCATACCAAGGGGGTAAAAAAAACTTGATTTTAACCTGCTTGTTCATACGTTGTCCATTTTAGTGCTGTGACTGTGATGACCGCATCATCCTCACCATTGACTTCGACTGGAAGGGCAAGAGCAAGACCAGGGACAGCTTCTTTGTGGGCACGAGCCCGGAGTTCGAGCTGGCCCTGTACACCGTCTGCTTCCTGGCCGGGGACGGAGCAAAGACCGAGGTCGAACTTGGAGGAGAGAGAGTCACCATCGCCACTTATAAACTGAATGGCCAGATCGGGTCTTGCTATCCGATCCTACAGGTCAGTAATATAAGGTTGAAGTTTCAGAGATAAATTTCTGCTCCATCAAGCGCGAAGACAAGTGTCAAAGGAACGCTGCCATGCGGTTTTAAATGTCACTCATTCCCAGATATACTCAGTGTACTTCCTTCAACTATGACGGCACATTACATTGCATTGCATTGAACCTAGTTTCGATTACTTTGGTAAAGTAGTCTAATATAGTGGCGTCATGACATGTGTACAGTGAACAATAGAATTTTCTCATCTTTCACAGGAACAAGATCTATCAGACACGGAATCTGACACCGAGGTGAGAATTTACAATGATGCCATTATATAGATAGATATATATATATATTGTTTTCTTTTCAACAACATGCAATATCTCAGTTGCAATCTTGCAGTCTATACTTGAAAATTTGGCTCATGTCTCTGAACCCTCAGGACGAGAGTGACGACAACCTGTCGGCCGAGGGGCTGGACTTCTTGGAGTACCTGGAAGATCAGAACATCGGTCCAGAGATGGGGAAGCGGAGGCTGAAGGGAATCTACGAGGACGACTACACGGAGTCGTGTGGTAGGAGGTCCAGGACGCCCTTCTCACAGGTTCTCTTCACCCTCAAGAAGGAGGGCAAGGTCGAGGTTCACATCAACAACGATGGAGTAGACATCGTCACCATCCTTGAGCACACTTAGGTCCAGCAGTACACGGGGTTAAAAAGTCTATATAGATCTGTGTCAGGCTCACTTCATTCCGTAACGATATCAGTAACTCCACTGTGGTTTGACACAAGCACAGATCCATAGGCATAGCGTTTTATAGTGACGTGATGTATGCCATAATGTTGATATTATTACCTGTTGTGAACATAGCTGTAGAATCGACATTTTCCACAAGAAAGGTTTGACACTAAATGTTGGTCCCAGAGATTAAAAAATCACAAACCTGCTTGCTATTTGTGTCATCCCGGCTTTGATTGGAAGATAATGGTGTGTGGCATCTAACGCCGTATGTGTGATTCGCCGTTGTCTAGCCAGTCCTTTATCATGTTCATCAGGACTGGCAGACGAGCATAGGTTTGAATAGGGATCAGAAAAGAACCAGGGATAGGTGTGAACAAGGTGTGAATAGGGATCAGAACAGAACTACAATGAATGAATGAAGACCTTTATTGTACATTTTGCCCCACTGGGCTAAAGACAGGTCACATATTGACAAAGTACATCAATGTTGATAATAAAACGGCTATAGTACACAAGTACTTTCAACTTCCTCTCGCTTTCTGGTAATCTTATGAATGTAGTTGGCTGTATGAGTAGTTAGAGCTGGTTTGTTAAAGACTGCAAGGAATATAAATTTCTCTATACTATTCAAATACTATGACACTGCGACAAAAAAAAAAAATACATACAATCTGCACATGAATGCAAAAGTACCAGAACTAAAAAAACAAACGATACAAGGTGACGACGTCATGTTCAGAACACGAGTTTTCCTAACCGGAGGTATCGTTGCAGTACCATAACAAGACGCTGGGAGGGGGGGGGGCGTCGGGTACTGCGGCGGCAAAAATTTAATCTGTACCTCCTCGATCACACTACCGATATACCAAGCTATTCGTGGCTTCTTGAGTTATGATTTTCACAAACAATCTTGGCGAATAATAAAAGTTGACGCAGGTTTACGCCCGTCCAATGATGTCCAAATATGGCAAGAATGTCCATTTATGGCAAGGGGAGCCTCAACAGCCTGTGACACCGGCAACGGGTGGGAACTACGGTCCAGTAGCCTGGGCGAATTCGTCCTCTTCGCACATCATTAATATTTGTGTAGATGACGAGACTCCGCCGCTGTAGCTCAGAGTATTGATGTGCATCTACAAATAACAAAGATACACAAACACATGACCGTTTTCTGATGTGTATCGCACCATCGAGCTCTGTCCAGGAGCCTTCGCACGTGGAGAGTTCAGTTTTCTTTTCCTTCCGCAAGAGAAAGTAGTCCGTCACATGATTTGGTGAATCGACACGCCTTTATATTTACAATAAAGCTTGTCACTGGAGTTTTTAACCATGAATTACTATATTTTCAACTTATCTACAGTATATAAGCCTCCATTTTTTCTTTAATTTCGAAAATTTATGCTGATGACCGCTTGAACCGCGGAGTAATTCGAACTACAGAGAAAAGGGCGGCGTTTTGATTAGTGACCTTGCACGCACAGATGGTGGCCGCATCATAACAAGTTTCCAAGAACCAAGAGGACAGTTCAGTGTCAAAATCTCTGTGGACCAAGCTAAACCAGTGGCTGTTCGCCATACAAGGCTCACGCAGCCTCTTCCGCGACCGTCCAAACTTCCAAAATGGCGAGTAAAATCGCGAGCGAAGACTTTGACGAAGAGTTCCTGACGTGCGAGGTCTGCTTGATGCTCTTCCGAGACCCCAAAATCCTGCCATGTCTGCACACGTTCTGCAGGGAGTGTTTGAAAGGCTGGGCAAATTTGGCCAAAACCAAACAACAGCAACTGAAGTGCCCAACCTGCCGCGTATCGGTCAGGCTACCGGACCAGGGCGTCGACGGACTCAGGACCAACTTTTACGTCAACAAACTGCTGGACTTCGTAGCGGCCAAGGAGGACAAGAAAGTCGAGAAAGGGGCAGAGCCGAACAACAACAAGGATGTGGAGGGGTCGAAGCCGCGAGACTCGTGCACACCGGTGGTTCACCGCACGCTTCCACCTTCGAAAGGCCGAGAAGTTACCGTTGAAGAACCCCCGAAGGCAGCACAAGAGGGCACCAGTAAGTACCATGTTATGTAGACCCCTCTCTAGGGTATATAACGGTTAGCATCTGTCAAGGAAGTTGTGAAAGCTGTGAAGCACAGTGTAACAGTGCTAACTGAAAGATATATAATATATGATCCTCAAAAGACTGACATATACAAGTCTCCCTGGACTGACAAAGGAGGTTAAATTTGATTTTAAACTTCCTTGGACTGGCAAACGAGATATCTAAGAAACTAGAGTCAGTTTTTGTAAAATTGTAAATCTTGTCTCATTGATTATGCAAATAAAGTTTAAATTATCAGCAGAATGATTTTTGTGTTATATTTTTAGAGCCAAGTGTGCCGTGCGAGAGGGATGTGGTGGTTCACCGCACGTCAGTTCCACCTCCGAAAGGCCCAAAAGTTACCACCCAAGAACCCCTGAAGGCAGAGGGAAGCACCGGTAAGTTTCACAGTAAAGTTAAACCTAAAACACCATGTTATATAGACCCCTCCAGGGAATAATTTATAACGGTTATCTGTCAAGCAGCTTGCAGGAAGTTGTGAAACACAGAGCACTCGAAAATGTGTGACAAACGAGGTATCTAGACTGGAGTTTTGTAAAATTATATGCATTTGTATTGGTCTTGTCTCATAAATTTCATCATGCAAATAATGTGTAATCAGCAGAATGATTTTTTGTGTTCAAGTCCAACGCAGTCAAAGCTCTTTGATCCTTCTTTGATCTTCTTTGTTACTCATCCCCTGCAGTTCTAAAACTAACTGCTAGGGTGCTGTAACATACCAACATCTAAAGAACATTTGGGGTGGGCTCCTTGGACATATGTGCTCAGGAATTTATATTTTTATATATATATATATAATAGAGCCAAGTGTGCGGTGCGAGGGGGATGTGGAGGGGTGCAAACCGGTTAACCGCACGTCAGTTCCACCTCCGAAAGGCCGCCAAGTTACTATCCAAGAACCCCAGAAGGCAGAGGGAGGCACCAGTAAGTTTTACAACAAACATGACGATGATGTTATATAGACCTCTGTAGAGAAAATAATGGTTACGCATCTGTCTGTCAAGGTAGTTGTGAAACATAGGGTACAGGGCACTTGAGAGAAAATAATGGTCCTCAAATTAGTCAAAAGACTGTGAGTCTGTGACAAACGAATATTCTAAGAAACTAGAGTTTTTGTAAAGTAAATCTTGTCTCATTGATTATGCAAATAATGTTTAATCGGGAGAATGATTTTTGTGTTATAATTTATACTTTTAGAGCCAAGTGTGCTGTGCGAGAGGGATGTGGTGGTTCACCGCACGTCAGTTCCACCTCCGAAAGGCCCAAAAGTTACCACTGAAGAACCCCTGAAGGCAGCACAAGTCACCAGTAAGTTGGTTTCACAGTAAATGACATCTTATATTAACCTCTCAAGGGAAATGTAACAGTTTAGCATCTGTCAAGGAAGATGTGAAACACAGACTGACAGAGCATTCGAAAGAAAATTTTGGTCCCCAAATTATTATATCATATATGACAAACGATGTATCTAGAGTTTTTGTAAAGTTTTGTATTGATCTCGTCTCATTGATTATGCAAACAATGTTTTATCAGCAGAATGATTTTTGTGTTTCAGTCTAAGCTATGTGCTTCATCAATAAATAATTTTGTACAATCCATCTTTCTGAGTTGGTCTCAGCCACTGCAGTTCCAAAACTGAAACTACACCATATTGTTCTGTTGTCATAAGCTATCTGTCATTCAAAAATCAAGACCACAGGATAAAAGATACAGCACTACTTTCGAACCAAGTATTTTGGGGCTTCTGTACCATAGTGATATTATTACATGTAGTATCAAAACCAAATGACGTGATGCCTTTGACATCATGTGCTCAGGAACTTACGACTTGAAAAAAATTGTTATTTTCTGATTCTCGGCTTTCAACCCATGTAAGGTTAACATACTATGGTTTTTTTTTACCCTTTACAGGCAAAGTGTCTGACATTGCTGCCAAGCTGTGGGCTCTCGACCACAACCGCCTGAGGAGAGGGATAGAGTATGACATTAACCCATACGTATGTATGATTTCAAGTCTTGGAACAATATGTTTCTTGTCAGTAATATCTTCATATTTGAAATCCAATGCAGTAGCCTCTTTGAGTTGAATAAAAGTTTTCTATTTCTGTGTGTAATGGTTGGCTGGTTAAACTGTATGTACTGCACATTTGTTTTTGATCATTACATTTTTATTTGATCTACTTTTGATGTAGGGCGGCGATCTGTTTTCCTTTGTGAAATGGCACAAGTTTGAATGGATTCCAACTTACAAAGGTGAGCAGGATACATAGACTGTCAAAAGTCTTGTGGCCACCAAAAAGTCACCAAAATATGTGCAGAACATTATATTTTGGTGACTTTTTTTGTGACCACAACTTCATATTGTGAATATTAGTATGGAAAATACGTAGCCCAATAACATGATAACAGAAGTTAGCATTTTGTACCAGACATACCCAACATGAACCTCTGTTGCACATTAATGTCCATGGAAATGAACATACTGAGTTTTCACAATCCCTTGCAGTTGGCAGTTTTTTTTGCTACAAAGCCTTTTGCAAATATATTGCATCTACTGTAACATGATCTTTCGGACTGTCAGGTGTGTAATTGTTACCATGTTCCCTGTGCAGCCTTTCTGAAATTGCTGCACAACTACGACGAAGATGGTGACTTCGAGGAAGAGGATGTGACAGAGAAAGAGCAGAACGACGCCCGTGCGTTCCTGAACCGTTGCCTGGATACCAAAGTGATGGAGGAGGCGCATGCTTTCTTGGCTAAGGAAGGTGAGATCACCAGCTGAGAGTTAATTAAGCTTAAAGCCATCCAATGCAATTTCAGGGCAGGGAAGCAAAATATATTCAGGACAAGAAAATCTGTCGATATTGACATATACTGCCATTCCTTAGCATGTTTTCGTCATCATTTCATAAAATTGACTTTGAAAATCCAGTTTTACTGTCCTGAAATTACACAGCTGCGACTTCCTGAATGTTACGGCCATCTTCAGGATGAATGACCTATCATGAATGATGTTTGTAAGTTCAGCCGAAATGTGGTAAATCAAAAGGTCAGATTTAATCAGAGCTAAACTTTGCAGCATTGGTCATCATATTTATTTTCCGATGGAACTACAGTCAAGAATATATGGATACCGGACACTAATATTGAAAGGCCAACTTGTTACGTTACTTCTATATTATTTGATTTGATTTGATTAATCATATTTCGTTACTTTGATTAGCTAACTCCACTTTTGGTTAATTATCTACTTTTGGTTGACAAACCTTTTGACCTATCATTATGATTTGATAACTGAATGATTATGATTGCTTCTATGCTGCCTTGTTTCATTTTGGTTGTATAATGAGTTAGCTACGATTTTCGTTTTGTTCACGATGAGTTTATCTATTTTAATTGACCTGTGTTAGTTCTTCTTTTATCTTAATTATTATGTAATGTAATTTTATGTTGGGGTTATCCCCCCAGGAATCTTTGAAAACCGCCATACAGGCGACATGTATATCCTGGATAAATAAAAAAATAAACAAATAAATAAAATAAATAATAAATAAATTTTTTTTTCAGGATGTGTGCCAGAAAGTAGGAATGGCTTCAAGTACATGTTATACAATCTGTGGTTCACACCTTACGCTAGGAGTTACGATGACTGGGGTGATGGGTAAGTTAATTTTCACAGGGTTGACAAAAAGTGCTGTATGTGTGTGTGCATGCTGTATGTGTTTGTATGACAAGTCTGCCAATGTAGGCAGTAAGACCAATTGCCACCATGTGATTTTTTGCTTCATGCTGTGCTATATGACTTGTCAAATACAAATGTATAAACTAGAACATAAAAAATGGGAAATTTTTGTGTCCACACCACAGGTCGGACTGGAGCACTGCATTCGAGCACACCTTCGTGGGAGAGACGCGCTGTGGCAACATGATCGGTTGTTTCCAGAACTGGCTCCAGCTTTGCAATGACGAGCAATCGGGCAACATCCAACACAAGGGAGCCTCGGTGAGTTGTTGTACCATCCAGTGAACTCAATTTTCTTTGTTTGTTAAGAATCAATAATCTTTTTTTATTAGAATGAAGCAGAAAATTTTTTAACATTAACGATCAATTTGTATTTATTGGCAACGAAACTAAATCTAATCATTACAAGGATAAGCACAGCCAGAACTAAGCTGGTAATGACTGACCCACAAAAAGTACAAAAAACAAACGAGCTAAAATCTAATTAGGCCTAGGAAAAAATGTTTTGTTTCCTGTTTCCTTAATTTTGGATCACTAGAGATTGCCAATATCTAAAAAAAAAAAGAAAGAAAACATGAAAAGATAATCCGTACCTACCGACCCTAATTTTCTTTATGACTGAAATGGGAAGCACAAGATTTTTCCTAGGTCTTACAAATGTTAAGGGTACATATCACTAATTCTTACATTGCCTATTCTAGTGTTGTGACTGTGACGGCCGCATCATCCTCACCGTTGACCTGGACTGGAAAGGCCCAACTGAGATCTTTGTGGGCACGAGCCCGGAGTTTGAGCTGGCCCTGTACACCGTCTGCTTCCTGGCTGGGGACGGACTGCAGACAGAGGTCATCCTCGGGGGTCAGACGGTCACTATCAACACTCATAAATGGAAGGGCCATCTCGCGTCTTGCTATCCGACGGTGCAGGTCAGTAAGGTGGAAGTTTGTCCATGAAGCTTGTCCATGTAGGACTCTGCCGTGTGGCTTTATGTATTATTCATTGGCTTGCACTGTGTGTATGTAGCACTCCCAGAGTGATCACATTAAAATTAAAGTCACTTCACGGATGCCACTTACGAATATTACATTGCATTAAAAACCCAGTTTGGATGAGTTAGACAATTGATTACCTCGGTAGTGGTATCACAACAAGTATATTGTGGATAACTGTATATTCAAAAGTTCTGAGTATTTACGCTGGTAATGGTATTCAGTTATGGTATACTTGTTTTCATTTCTTTTTACAGCAGTTGCGCAGTAACTTTTCCTGTTCACGGCAACAAGACTGGTCAGACACGGAATCAGAGTCAGAGGTAAGAACTTACATAGTTCCAAGAATCTGAAATGTCTGACAGTTATGCTATTCATTTTCATTTTCTTTTTACAGTTCCACAATAACACGGATCCATGTAGCCTGGTTAGCAAACCTATTATAGCTCCCGAGTCCTACATCCTCTCCGCTGTTTGCGGGAGCTATAATAGGTTTGGTAACCAGGCTAAGGTTACCAAACCCTTGCAGTCTTTACTGTTTCCTTAATATTTGACCCCATGAATGTCTAACACTCAGGATGACAGCTACGACAGGCAGCTCGCAGAAGGCCTGGACTTCATGCAGTACCTACAAGAACAGGGCTACTCTCCGGAGATGAAGAGGAGGAAGCTGAAGTGGATCTACGAGAACGACTACACGCACTTGTGCGGGAGGAGGGAAGGAACAGCCTTCTCACAGGTCCTGTACACCCTCAAGATGGACGGCAGGGCCGAGGTCTACACTGACTATTTCGGGGTAGAGGTGGTCGCTTTCCTGTAGTTAGAGTTAAAGAGTTAAAGTTAAAGAGTTAAAGTTAGAGTTAAAGAGTTGAAGATCTATTTTCCTATTTTCGTGTGGTTGACACAAGCGTAGAGTAGAGAAGAGTTTTATTTAGTTTTATAGCAACCGGACTCATGTAAAAGATCTGTCTACGCGACTCGATTTTAGATGTTGCAATCATTGATGTAGAATCTTATGTTCCACAAATCTATTTTTACGTTTGCCGCCATGCGGCGGCAAACGTAAACATACGAAAACAATGCTTCCATCAACCCTTCGTTGGGTGAACATTTTCGTTTGGGTGTTGCATTCAATGTTTATCTATTATGTTTGCACTTTTTATTGTGGGATGGTCCTACCAGATCACATAAACGCAATTCTTATGTGACAAAGTTATCAAAACTTAGACTTGAATTGTCTAAAAAATAATTAATCTGTACTACTGTATGCCCAAAGTGATTCTCAGAAGATGATAAAAATTGACATAATGGCCTTGATGAATGAATCGCATAAATTATGTTAATGTAGATGACAAGTAAAACATTGGGTGTTGCATTCAATGTTTATCTATTATGTTTGCATTTTTTATTGTGGGATGGACCTACCAGATCACATAAACGCAATTCTTATATGACAAAGTTATCAAAAATTAGACTTGAATTGTCTAAAAAATAATTAATCTGTACTACTGTATGCCCAAAGTGATTCTCAGAAGATTATAAAATTGACATAATGGCCTTGATGAATGAATCGCATAAATTATGTTAATGTAGATGACAAGTAAAACATTTGCGCTCGCGCAACGTCTGTAATTAGTGGACAAATATTCCAACAACGATGTTTTAATTGTGGTCCACTACATTGTTGCTAAGTTTCCACACTAAAGAAACTTTTAAAGTACCCTTTTGCCGAAATATACGCCCTTGGCTGTGAAGAGAGAGAGTACTAGTATCCGGCCCACCGCCATATTTACTAACCGGAAGATGTACTATTTCACTACATCGCTAGATGTCGCTGTTCATGTTGCTCTTGGAAGCCCCCGGATGTACTAGAGGGCATGTATGGGGGTGATAGTGATTACGGATTACGCAAAATTTTCGCCACCGATTACGAATTAAGTAAAATTCTCAGAGCTATTAAAACTTTATGCATTAAGGCTAATATAATATTACGAATTTCATTGATTTGGAGGGCGACTGCCAACGGATTACGAAGACTTAAATGGTCCGATTACGCCTCAGGAAAAAGGGTATGCAGGCTTCTACAACGAGCATTCCAGCTCTCAGGTACGTACCGTACCTCAGTATTTACGCCATATAAATGTAAAAATATCAGCAATGTTATGAGTATTAGGCATAGAGTTACAGGAAAATAGTATAGCTAAAAGTACCATGGGCAAGGGTGATCAATCTAATTGTGCTTTGACGCGCTGTTTAACAATATTTAGTAGTCAAACTGACTGCCCCCCTCCTCTTTGGATTTACAAATGCGTCTAACAATCTCTTTTCGGTATGATCAAATTATGCAAGGCTAAGTTTCTTGCTTTAATATTAAAATTAATTACCGGCAGATGCTTGCCAATCTTAAAGTTTGTTCTCTGGAGTGTTTCTACCGTATCGCCTTAATTTTTGTACTGTTGCATAAATTATTATTTTCTTTCTTACAAATTTTCGCTGTCAGTGGGGGGGGCGGTTCAGGCTTTTCATTCGTCGCCAGTATTTTGTTGAAAAAACTTTGAGCTTTCAAGCTATTCGGTTCACACGTAAATCTTTCCTGGTATCAAACATATCTCAATTTCATCAAGAAATTTGAGTGTACTCAGAAACCTAAGAATTGTTCATCAATATGGCAACATATAGAAGCTCTCTCAGCAGTATATGGGTAATTTTGAAGACTTTGATGTGTTCTTTTAGCAACGAGAACTCAATATTTATGTGCACAGTTGCAAATTTTATGTTGAAACAAATTATTTGTCATCTCTTTCAGATGTGTCTTTGGCATTTGGATACCACAAAGCAATCAACCTATGCCACCATTCACTCAATACCAGCCTGTGCCACCGTGCACTCAATACCAGCCTGTGCCACCGTGCACTCAATACTAATGTGCCATTGTGCAGAACTTGCAGATTGTATACTGGATGAGTCCATGTCTCACGAGTGAATTATTAAAACCAGAAACTGTATCTTGCCCTGAAACCAAATATTCAATAAACAATCTGAACACATACATTTAGAATCTGTGTATACTTGTGTCACATTTCTTACATATAAGCCATTAATTGCCTTTGCCCACAATGTGTGAAGCTATACTATCAGGAAAAAAAAAGGTAACAACATTTTCAGTGAAACTAGCAGAGGTGGCATGTGATTTTCTTGTGCAAAAGTACAATGGCGGCAAACGTCAGCTTTTGTAAAAGCACTTGTTTTTTTAGTTTTGGTTTTTTTTATAGGCAGAAGCCATAGATATGGTGAGCAGTTCCAAGCTGAACAGATAGGTGTCGCTTTTAAGTGGTTCAGATCAGACATCCGGGGGAGGAATCGTTGTCTATTGCCTAGAAGGGAATGCTATCTTCCATGATATCCAACATAATGACGCATATTCCATGACGCTTCGTACCTGGGCCTTGTACACTGTGGCTCTTCCTTTGGTGTCGAGCTTTTGGGCAACTCGCCGTATAGCTCCGAGCTTTTGTCCAGCTCTTGCACCAATGTTGGAGATGTGCTTGGCCTAGGTGAGCTTTTTGTCAACAGTGACACCAAGGATTTCCAGTCCATTCTTTTCTGCCAGTCTGGTGTTACCAAAGACAAAAAAAAGACAGGCTGCCTGATGTTACGAGTACATGGGAACTCAGCAGCTGGTAGTAGGGGGTTTTTTGCATCACAGGCTGTTCAATTATGGAACAGTCCATGGCCAGGAAGTAATGGCATCAGTAGGACTGTAAAAATCACCAAGATGTTAAAGGGACCAACCATTTGTTTTAATACCCCGGGAAACCAAGGTACAAGGACACTGATGTCATGTTTTGAAAATGTTAAGTGGGCCAACCACACAAGAAAAAAATATCTTTGCCAGTCATTGATATCTTATCTAATCTTTTGTGCGTCAAACTACTCAGTTAGTACGCATATTAAGTCAGGATGTGTGACCATTCTGTTTACCAATGTCAGGTGTTATTGTTGCTGTGAAAGAAGGGTGATGATGTAATTGTGACAATAACAACCTCGGAAATAAAGTATCATAAAGTCAACCAGAATTAAGTTGTTTTTTTTGCAATGAAGTTATAGAAAAATCTGTTGGCAAATTCTCCTCTCCAAGCAGAGGTTGGTGGGGTAGTGACAGAAAACGTGATAAGCATGTGATATGATAAAAGGTCACAATTTCCCCAGCAACCTCTGCTTGGAGAGTAGGTTGATTCTTGTACAAACAAAATGTGTCAGCAAACTTGTATCAGTGAAATTTATAGCCAGAGTAGCAAAGTATTGACTATTGTGAATAAGTCCTGTGCCAGGGCACAGCTTACCAGACGTCAGGACAAAAAACAGTCTGCATACCCAGCCTAAACTCCAAGGAAGAAGAAAAACAGAGCTGGCAATGATGTCATAGTTGATAAGAAAATGACCGCAGCCTTGCGTATATACATGTACCTATGACGGATTTCCAATGGAATGATCATATTTACATACACTAATTTGTTTGCCGCCACTCTGCGTACTGTACCGCGCCTTGTGTTGTCCGGATCCTTGCGAACATAAAAGCCGGTGGTCTGCTGCCTAAGATACTTCATAGCTTTGAAAGTTTGGCCTACTAGTAAACTTATCGATCTGTTCAACTTATTTCGAGGAAGATGTTAACTGTGTTTTTCCTGATCATCGTATCGACTTCTTCATGTGAGTATACATCCCAGCAACTTGTGTATTTTTACTGTATTTTTTTGGTCTGTAAATACTGTTACATATTAGATAACATTAAATCAAAATAGTGAAAGTGGCTTGATGATTACCATGATAGCATGACATTCCAACCAAGTAAGTAGTGTAATGTGTAGCATTCCCAATCGCCGAAATGCGCTTTACTGTATATAGCTACTCTCCCTATGTATTTGCAATAACACTTGTATTACCTTATGATAATTCCCGTAGATCGAGTTTTTAAAGCTACAATTCCCTCAATGTTATTTCCAGCTGATGCCCAGTCTGTCTGCGAGCATCCCGCCAACCTGACAGCCGACAGCGGTCAGTTCTCCAGCCCAGGCCACCCTAACAACTACCCCATCAACACGCAGTGCTCGTGGAGGATAACTGTGCCGGAGGGGAAGCTCGTCAGGATCTCGTTCTTGACCTTTGACCTAGAAGACAGCTCTGGGTGTGGGTACGACTCCCTGGTTGTCCATGATGGCGACAGCGCGCTCGACTACAGACTTCTCAGCACCTGTGGAAGCAATGTGAGTTTCAACCAGGTGGCAGTAAGCATCACAAATTTTACTTTGCTGGGAATGGCAAAAAAAAAAAAGAACTATATTTTGTTTATAAAAGCTGTCCTTTTTACCCAATACCAATCTAATAGCCTCTACCAGGCTTCAGATGTGGCTGGAAAGAGCAAATAGACAAACTGTACTCACCAGTTTTGGGCAATTTCTATTTTTCCAGTTGCCTCTGAAGCTTGGAAGGGCTACCAATCTGACACATCAAAAGATATTGATACATTCAATGTCACAAGGAATAAATTTGACCTTACCTGTAGGTTCCAAGGTCCACAGTTTCCTCAACAAACACCGTCCTTGTGGTGTTTACGTCAGACGGTTCAATCACCAAAGCCGGCTTTTCTGCTGTCTTTTCCTCCGAAGATGCACCAGGTGAATTTATGAATTTCATCACGTTGGTAAATGAATATTATAGTTGGAACCAAGGGAAGCTTGACCCAGTGAGTTGGTGAGTGGTAAATGAATAGCAAAGTTCTTTATTCACAACCACTTGTTTAACAATAGCCGGTATTTCGATGACTGTTCTTCATCAGGGCAATTAAGACTGGTTCACTTCACCTAAGTGAGGTGTTACTGGCTTTTCCGTGCACCTAGCTTCAGTACACAGTGAACCAGTCACGGATAAAATGTGAGTATATTTTTATGAAGATTGAAAATTATGACCTCTTGTTTGTTACTTTGTTTCAGCAACCTGTGGACCAGATGAATTCACCTGCGCAACAGGCGGCTGTGTACACATCAATGCAACATGTGATGGTGTCAACGACTGCGGAGATAATAGTGACGAGTACACATGTGGTATGTACGTCATGAGACTGTCAATGTAGCAATGTCATGATGACAGCCACAGTGTATTGTCTATACTATTAGATATTATCATGTCAACAGAACAAACATTCACTACACATACCTGCACAAAACCTGTTTTTTTTTCACGGTTTTCATTGGATGTTTGGTCAACGTTGCATCAAACTTTTGCAAGTTAAATACGATATATTTTCCGACACAACATCTGAAATATAGATGTTAAGTTATATACGCAAATATGACCTAAGATTCACATATGGGCAGTATGCTTCTGCCGATGTGCTGAACCCAATGACTTTTTCTTTTTTGCAACGTATGATGCACTGCTCACCGAGTCACGTTTGTCATCTGTATAACGTGAGGTCACAGAAGTGATGGAATGCTCATTCCTTGACAAAGACTGTAGTTGTATGGTTAAAAAAATTGGGTAGGTCCAATCCCTTGTGTTGGAACTTTAAACTGCTTTTACATAATGACATTTCTCTTGCTGGCCAGGTGAGGTCCCGTGCGGCGTGACGCCCATCCCGCCCGTGTTCCCCGCCAGTCGGATAGTGGGGGGGTCGGAGGCGTACCCCGGCAGCTGGCCGTGGCAGGTGGACGTGCGGCACCGAGGCGGGCACATCTGCGGCGGTGCCCTGATCCACAGGGAGTGGGTACTCAGCGCCGCTCACTGCTTCCAGAGGTTAGTATAGGGAAGATAGCTGCCATTTTACTTGTATCCTGGGACTCCCATACTTGGTCCCTAAAATTTTGCTTCCATAGTCCCTCCCTAAACTTTTTTAGGGAGTGAGTATGGGAGCCCCAGTATAACAAGTAGGGTAGCACCCAGGCTACAAGGAAGATGCATCAACTTGGTCATTCCTTGTAATGTGAAAATATAATGTGTTATTGCTACATGTTAAAGTCCTTGTGCATTTATCAAGTTTTCCTGCACTTCTGTTGTCCCAATACAATAAACTTCATATTGTCTTACTTAGGACCAAAACATGTACACTGTCTCCTACCTTTCGCAAAACCTTTCTTCACATATAAGTTGTGGGACTTATTTTCCCTTCCCTCTGGCTTCTCATCTTCAGCAAAGAGCTGAGCATGTACACCTTCATCCTGGGCAAGTACCACGAGTTTGCCACGGACGCCACAGAGCAGGTCTTCAACCCCGCAGTCATCATCAGGCACTCTGGTTATGACGTACGTACAAAATTGAGGTTGACAGAATTGATTTAATAAATCCAAAATAATTCATACTACATGTATATGTTTTGCATACCTCTAATCGTTTTGCACACAGGAGGCACAAGGTTTTTTTTATTGTTCTTTTGCGTCTTTTTTCATTTTCATCCCGTTTATCTGTGCATCCCCTGCTGCCCTCCCAATGTTTTGACACAGAAGTAGAAAAGCCGTCTCTACTACAATGTTACTGATATACGCAGAATGTAAAGATGGATGGAGATGTTTAGTAATTATGTACCCTTTTATGTTTTGTTATATTCAGTGGCGCACTTCAGACAACGACATCGTGTTGATCAAGCTTGCGTCTCCGGCCACCCTGACACAGCACGTCCAGCCCGTCTGTCTCCCGCAGGCCAACCCCAAAGCCGGGCAGCTCGCCGTGGCCACAGGATGGGGGTACACACAAGGTAAGATTGGAACGAGGGGGAAATAGGGCCACAGAAGCTGTCTTTAACTTCCCAAGCACAGGTTTTGGCTTCACGTAATTTTTAACAGTTTTATCAGGCTTTATTTTTTGTACTGGTATCTTTTTTTTTTACGCCAGTGAGAATGCCTGGCCAATTTGATAACTGTATTTCAGCCACCAAAAGATCTTCTTGGGGATTAGCTGTCTTAGTAAAGCAAACAAACTTTATATCTCTCTTTCTTATATAAACTCAGCGTCACGGTCAAGAACAGCCTCTGTAACTGTATCTGTATAGCCGGTATAACTGCCATTCCGCATAGCACACCAGCTAAGCTTGGATTATGTTGGTAGGATAATGATGAACAACAATCATCATCCTCTGAAAAGTGAAGACTGTGTTTTCCATGACATGTGTGCAGGTACAGGCGGTGCTGATGTGTTGAAGCAGGTTCTGCTGCCGATAGTGAAAACCAGTAAGTGTAACTCCACCTCCATGCATGATGGCAGCATCACGGAGAACATGCTGTGTGCTGGGTACGAGGAGGGGCAGCAGGACACATGTGATGTAAGTACAAGCTGGTTTATCTGCCAGGCAGCAGTACACGCCAGCTTCTGTATCTGTATAGTGGGTATAACTGCCCTTCGATGTAACACATCAGCTTCTGTATCTGTAACCATATACCCGATATAACCGCCCTTCGGCATAATATACCAGCTTCTGTATTGGCATAACATACCAGCTTCTGCACCTGTATCTGTATAGCTGGTACAACTGTCCTTCAGCCGCAGCGTAACAGACCAGCTTCTGTATCTGTATAACCTCCGCTTGGGGTTTATTATCTAAGAATCAACTATGCTGTTGCCACTTTCTGGTGGTCCCCTAGATCAGTTTTCCCATCGATCCAGGTATTCAATTTAAGAAACCTGTCTACAGTGGCCACCTGTGAACTGTGACCATTTCCTCCAAGTACCATGAGTTGTCAATGGTCACTATATAGACAGTATAAATTTTTTTCCAGTGTCTTTAAGGCAGTGTTAACATTTTTGCCAGGGAGACAGTGGCGGGCCTCTCGTGTACCCTGACGTCACCGACCAGACATGGCGACTGGCGGGTCTGACCAGCTGGGGGAGCGTGCCGTGTGCAGCGAGCATGCGCCCCGGGGTGTACACCCGCGTCACCAGGTACATCCACTGGATACACGAGAAAATGGCAGCCTATTGAGACCCCCACGATGCCCACAGTCTTTCACTGAAAGTGATCCAACTACACACTGAATGGTTATAAGCCCGAATGGTCTGGAAAGAGTAACGGTTATTCTTGGCAAATTAGGTTACCGTTGTATTAACAACACTGCGTAGCAAGGATTTTTAAAACTTAAACACTTGAACTGATAAGGAAAATAAATAAATAATAAATAAATAATAAATGCACAGCAATGCTGGGACAAATGTACAGTGTATTCATGCTTCGTTTTAACAGCATTATACTTTTATTTAAGAATATCCAAGTCCCTGTTTTGTGTTATTCATTGTTGAATAAAGTAAAGTGTACAGTCCATCCTTCAATCAATATCAGAATTTATTGTCATTTATGTCCACCAAATAGAAAATGCTAATATTCGCAGACTCTAAGATGGAGGTGCTACTGCATTCATCGTTTGCAGTGCAATAGTAGAACTTAGTAAAAGTTCAAAATTGGGCGAGAAAGTTAGCTAGTCACGGGTATTTAATCTGTTTTGATCAAGATCGAGACAAGCAAGACGAGAGACAGTTCGCAACGACAGTTGTTTCCTATTTTACAATGACAGTTTTCACGCACACACTGATCAAGACAGCAAAACCAGAAGTTTGTCAGTTATTTGCGATGATGTTGTAGATCCAGTCAGGGTACATGGCTACGTTTGTGTAGACGCCGGGCTTCTTGGGGCTCCCGCACGGGCTGGGTCCCCAGCTCACCAGCCCCGCTACGTACCAGCTTCCGTCCGGGCGGCGGCACGTCAGGGGGCCACCGCTGTCGCCCTGTACATGTATTAAAACAGGTTACAGTATGTGCCTGTGAATAATTTGATCAGTTTGGTGAATGAGTGAATAGCAAAGTTCACAACCACTTGATTAACAAAAGCCAACGTTTCCATGACCGTTAGGCTGTCATCTCCAGTCATTATTTCCCTGATTATACGTTGGGTCTTGTATTTAATGCTACATTACCTTTTTGGACTTTAAAGTCGGGCTGAGATAGCATGATGCTCATGATCTACATATTTGTGCTGTCAGATCTTTTATCTGTGACCCTCAGAGATTCTTAACTGTCTTAAGACAGCAAAACAGTACTGGTGATCTTAAAAGTTCGTCAGTAATTTCGGTGTCTAAAAAGATCTTTCAACTGTCACTCCGAGACTACACGTAGATACAGAGGTGCCTACATTACAAGAGTCGACCCCGCCCTCCTCGTAGCCAGCGCAGATGTTACTGTCGGTGAAGGCCAGTCCGTTGAGGTGGTCAGCAGAGTTACACGTGGTCATGTCCACCACAGGAACCTTCCCCTGTTGCAGGGTGGCCGCCAAGTGGCCATCATCTAGTAAAAAAAGTTATTACCCCATACGTTAGTAGCCTGGTTACCAGACGTATTATAGCTCCTGAGCCCTACATCCTCTCCGCAAATAGCTATTTGCGAAGAGAACTTAGTGCTCGGGAGCTGTAATAGGTCTGGCTATTACGTTAGAATTACGTTAGATTACAGAAAGAATCTTGGTACCTTATTGTTGTAATAGTAATCCTCATGATTTCCACATGACAATGGTACAGAACTAGTGCTGCATTTGCTTCTTTACACCCCCTGTCCACCAGAAGCTGCGACTACTGATCGACTGGTGAACGACCAAAATTTGATAAACTTGATTCATATATGTCTTTCGTTGTCTTTCAATATATTGAACCTCCAAGCAGATTATGGGGGGCAATGGGAGGTATTAGCCACCTGTAACAGTATCTACCGGGGCTAACTGGTTACATGCGGCCAATAGACTCCCATTGCCCCCGAGAATCTACTCGGAGGTTATCTTTAGTCATACTTCAACATATTACATGTACATCATGCGTCACATGCCAATTATTGAATCAAGGCTAACACAATTTCAATTTTTCGTCGTCGATTTAAAAGGGTTTCTAACACATGATTCTGCAGTGCTAGCCTCCTTCGCAGACTTGTAGGGTGCGGCGTTATTTTTTTTCGGTGAGCGACGCGAGTTATGCCGCGGAAGGCCTACTAGTATTTTGCCGCCTAGCCTAGACAGTTTTGCCGGGGAGAGACGGTTTCGCGGCGTTGTCGCTTACCGCGCCCTACAAGTCTGCGAAGGAGGCTACTGCAGTGCCATGGTGTTGAGTCTCACCCGTGGAACCCCAGCCCGTGGTGTAACAGAACGTCCCCGCCGCCGGCTCGCTGTCCGACAGACAGGCCACGCTGACGTAGTCGTTCAGCTCAGCCGACCGCGACAGCTTCAGCAGCGCGATGTCGTTGTCCAGGCCCGGTGTGTAGCCCTCGTGTTGAAAGACCTGTTCCACCGGGATGTCCTGTTGGTAAGGGTCGGCGGTCTGACGATTGTGGCTCCCGAGGGTCACCGTGAACAGGGAGTCGTCGACACTGTGTTGTGGGGTAGATGTTATACTGACAGCCCTCAAGGAAACGTACGATCTGACGGTACGTTTTTGAGTACGTCAAAGCAAGGAGGTTATAGCTATAAGCTCCTTGGTCAAAGTTACCGTAATACGACAATATACAAGCAGGAAAAATTGGCGTGCGCAGTCTGCATGTATAGCGTACGCAGTTTAGCGTGCCCTCAGGTTTTTGCCTGCGTGCATGTAACCGGGTCCAAGTCACATCGCAAAACTGTTCTTGTCACTTTATGACGATAAAAGACCTTTAACATTCATGCGTCTAAGGTCATGTCCGGACGATCCTATTAACTTGATGTAATCTGTTTTCAACATTTTCTGAACCTACAAACTAAAACGAAGAGTCATGGTTCCTTACCCGTCCACGCAGTGCCCTGCCGTGACAGCCCAGCGGGGATGGACGAGCGCTCCTCCGCACACGTGATAACGGCCCGCCCCCTGTCTCAGGGACACCTGTAGTACGGAGAACATCACTATCAACACATGATAGACTCTCGTCGCTTGTGGTCGCCTACACATCAACATAGTGACCACAACTGAGTGTTTACAAAGTTAGTCTCAAGGAAGACTCCTCGCAGGGGCAAGACAGCATCACATTGCCAGGCAGTTAGTCTCCATATTACCTGCCACAGAACGCATGCCCAAGGGAGGGCTATCCTTTCAAAAATGGGATGCTTTTCCCCGAAGGAATCTCCCTGGAGATTGCTCACTAACTTTATTACGTGTAACGGAGAGGTTTTTTGTTTTGTTTTTACTAGACAGATGTATATTGCAATCTATTATATACATGTAGCTATATGTACGAACCTGCCATGGCCAGCTGCCAGGGACGGCCTCCGTACCACCAACCACCCGCGTCAGGGCCGGACTGATGGCCGGTATGCCGCACGTCTCCTGTCCAAGTGTGATCTCTGTGACAGGACACAGGCATATCATCGTTACACCATAATAGTAAACCTAGAACCTCATAAGACAGACAGTATACACATATACTTTAATGTTACTTTGACACTAGTACTGTAGCATTCTGATATGATCTCTCAAATAAAACGTATTGTAAGGATTAGACATGTCTACATCAACATCAAATGGTAGAATACTGGGATATTCATAGCCAGGCAGAAACTTGAAAAGAGTAGACATGCACCAATGACAAGTACGTCTGAGTCACTAGTGACAAACTAATTTTGAAAGTTGTGAATGAAACAGAAAGGCTCATTTGCTGGGAAAATCTCTGCAAACAGGAGGCTGATTCTTACAAGGAAAAATCGTGCTGAAAACCCTACCACATTTGGGGATGTCGCAGTACTGCCACCTGTACGTGCTGTCCCGTACGTAGCACCACGGCTGCCGGTCTCCGTCAGGATTGCGGCAGAAGTTCTGGTCGAGCTGCACGTCGGGGTAGTTCATGTAGTTCGCCCAGGGCTCGCAGGGCAGGCCGCGCCTAGTGGTGGACACGGTCCCCTTGTAGTTAGCGCCGTTACCAGTCGTGCATACGAGGTCTGATGGAGGTGGGGAAATAACAAGGAGAGAATTACAGTGTATTTGTGTTGTCACATGCTTGGTGTAATTTTTAGTACGCCGCAGACGATCGTATAAATTAAAACCTTTATGACAATCTACAAGCAAAAATAATGTTACCAGTTTGAACTGCCAGTAACACGGAACCATAAAGTTATCTACCATTCTGTACAAGTTTAAACGAAAAACATACTACATGCAAACGTTTTATGGGGGACGCTAAGATCATTGTATATAAAATGTTCGTTAAATGGATAACAGGCATGTATATACCGTTGCTTTTCACAAATAAATACGTTGTGCATAATGTTTATTCGACAATTTGACGTTATTACCGCACGACTGTATGTCGCAGTCCTCCCATCTGACCTGCCCGTCCGTGGTGTAACACCAGGGGTTGGTGTGCCCGTCGGGGTTCCGGCAGTAGTTCTCCCGCAGGTCTTCCCCCGGCTTGGACTCGGGCGTGATGGAGTGTTGATGCGGCGACTGGCTGTCCCACCGCTGGCACACCCTCCCCGATACCGTGCGGCTAGTGTCGCCTCTGTACGCGCTGCCCAGATAGCACTCTGCATTGGTGGGAACGTAAACATGGTCTATTGTGCGTCATGACGACAGAAGGATGACGGCGGAGACACAACGATTTACTGGTTTCGACCTTTCATTCAAAAGCCTTCATCAGACGCCTTCATCATGATCAAAGATTGGTAACGTTACCGTACTTCATTCTGCACCCTTCTGTTCTAGTTAGGCCACACCAAGTAAATTTTATGGATGACGTCCTTTGGAGACCCTAAATCTAATGCGAGAGGGCGAAAAAAAAACAAGAAGGGCCCTAAAAAACAAGATGCCTAGATTAGAAATATACTAAGAGATGACAAATGTTAGGACACAAATTGAATGAGGTGACACAGTGTAACAAGCAAGAAGTCTTTTCTTCATCATCAAAACAGCAATAAATCGGGTGGAACAGTGAAAAAATTTCTGTTATTATGGTCCTGTCAATAGACACTTTCTTCGCGTTACGGGTTTCACGTCAATCTGACGATTTGCAACACCGTCGTGACTCTTTGGTCATGGTTACAGGAAGCGAAATTTCTTGTTTTTTATTCTAGGAAGAGGCCAAAATCAATGCGCGCGAGGACGTCATCCATAAAATTTACTTGGTGTGGCCTTAGATCAGGGCGCTCTAGTCCCGGAGAAACAATAAAACTTATAAACAATAAAAGTTAAGAGAGTTGTGAGTTATGAAGAGCACTAGCTTCATTGTCGTTACCGGCACCACCAAAAAACAATATCGATTTGGGCACAACACATTTTAATGAAGTAAACGGAGTAAAATTTCTCAAAGCATACACGGACTATGGGACGTGAAAAGATAGTTTCTTCCACAGAAACACTATAGCATAGACATTCGAAGTTTTCGCGAACAAAACGTATAGATTGCCTCTAGCTGTATGTTTACGGTCAACTTACAACAAAATTCACAAAACTGTACCCACCTGTAGCCACTGAAGCGCCAATTCCTAGCAAAACAATAAACACTACACTGGAGATCATTTTCATAAAGTACCTGTCAGACAGTGCGCTAAACTTTTGAAGTAACATACGTCGCAGTTAGCTAATGTCATCATATTGACTTGTGTAACAGCACTCATGCCCTAAGTGTATCTAGATCACAACGCAAACAATTAGCGGGATATTACGTACAGGTGTTTATGTAACTTAGTGCTATATTTGTCATGATCGTGTAAATGTCGTGTTATTCGTGTGTATATTGATTGAGGACAAGGGTAGGTCTAGCCTCGCCTTTCAGCCACCAGTTGGTAGTTTCTGACTACACTGACTTGTTTTCCGTGTCCTGTTAGCCTCTCTAACTGCCTTTAGCGCGGACCAACTCACCAGGCCATATCATCTGTCTTTTTGGCCAATTTATACTCTTTCCCGCTGCTACCCGAAGTACTGTATAAATGCCAGTTTAAACAGGGCGACCCTGCCACTCCTAGCAAAACGGTCCGCCAATCGCTACTTATGGTGCTAAGGAGATTCTTGTATCTGTCTGTATCTGTAGAGCCGGTATAATCACCCTCTGGTGAAACACACCAGCTTCGCAGCCACGCGGCGCGGCGGCAGCTGGCTATAGCTATATTACATTGTACTGCCCGTGGCCTTTACATTCAACTCAACAAATCCCCACGTCCTCAGTATACGTCATATCCTGGAACAAACATGACTTCACGGTCAAGAGCGTGGCGCACAGAAACCTGAGTAAAGAAGACTCGTTCCGTTCAAGTCAAATAAATAACTTTATTGCGCAACAATTGTACAGTGTACAAAGTATGGCATCTACTAACGTAAGTAAGTACATGTCAACTACATTTTCATAAGGCTAATCTAATACAAAAGTGGGTTAATGCGCTTCATGGTACTGAAGGCACGAGGGCAGTGCAGCGATGAGTCAACTGCCGTCACGGACTGACGTTTTTGTTTTATCTACATCCATGCTTCCTGCTGCACTGTTTACATGTTTTTACATCGGCAAATGTGTGCCACGAGGTAACGTCAGGCGTTGGTTATCACATACATCCATGTCAGCAAACAAATAGCAAGGCTTATACTATCTCAGGGTACACGCGTGCTCTCAAAGGAATAATGAGAAAAACACTTCTTGATTTAACACGTGATTTATTCGACTGATACTGATAGCTACATGCCACGAAGAGCTACAAACATATAGTATTAACAAAGATGAAAACTTGTGAAAAGTGACGACGTCTAATTGAATGGGTACGAGCTGTAATGTGAAGGGACATTTTCAGCCATTTGGTGGTTCAACATCAGGCAATAACATCTTAAGTATGTACTTTCTCTAAAAGAACACTTGACAAGAACATTGAGGTTTATTTTGCCAATTTCTAGTCGGTTCTGGGGCCCAGTATCACTAATGCATGTGTGCTATTACTAATTGCCTTCGTCGAGAATTCGTCTAGAAGGCTATGAAATCACTTTGCTATAGTGTGTGAGACTATGCGGCATAACTCTTGAAGGCATAGTTCGATGTTCATGATTTTTGGCAGGCAGGTTACCGTTTGGAAGATCAAGGTCAAGTTCCAAACTGGGCCTCGTGAGGGGTCTCTGCGTCACTGCAATGGACCATTTGTGTTTGTCGTTTTTATTGTTAACAGGGTTATAACTCGAATATATGTAGAAGGATGTTCATGATTTTTGGTAGGTAACGTTTTCCTCTGCTCTAGTTGACCTCCATCATGTAGGCGATCCAGTCCACGTAGTTGAAGACCCTCGTGTAGACGCCGGGTTTGTACGCCTGCGCACAGCCGATCCCCCAGCTGACCACCCCGGCCAGCTCCCAGGTCCCGTCCGCTCGCTGGCACACCAACGGGCCGCCGCTGTCGCCCTGGGCAGGCGGTAAGATTGTAAAGGTTAAAGCGGTCGTTCTCAACTGAGGTGTAGCTTTTTCAAATAGCTAGTACTAGTAGGAGTGCCGAGTGCAATGCGGCTTCGCTACAGTTCGCATTCATAGCCAAGCACATCGGGTCACCCCTACTCTTCTCGAGTTCTCGATAAGTGTGTTGGGTTCTTTTAAGATTGTCATTTGCGTTAGTATTAAAGATAATACTAATAGAGAGACTTTATTGTACATCAGACTAAGTACAGGCATACAAATACAGAGAATACAAAACTAGTAGTAACGTACGTATATTGACAAGAGTTCTCATGCTAATCTAAACATGAATTCCAGGTCTACTCTAATTAGTATATTAAGCGGGTCACACTCTATGACATGTACACTATATGTTCTCAACTCTGTTGCGCATGTACCTGGCAGGCGTCGACCCCTCCCTGTTCGTACCCGGCACAGATCATGGTGTTGGTGTCTATGGAGGAGGCGCCCAGGTAGCTCACACAGGTGGACGGGGCCACGATGGGCACCTTACCCTGCAGGAGGACTTCAGACAGCTGGCCAGACCCTGGGGTAAAGTCAATGCATGTTGTGTTATTGTGATCCTGATATGTTTTTGTACTTTCTTTTTCTAGAAGTAGACTTAAGGAAAGTAGATATCCTACGACTAGCTAGTTACGAAATACTTGAGAAAAGAAGTCCAAACGATATGTTGCATCCACGATTGTGTTGGGCATTGTTTGTTGCAAAAAGGATAAGTCTATGCAAAAAAAGCTTTTGTAATATTGTGAGTCTGCTGCTGTATTTACTGATTCAAAAGAAGAGAGTTGTGCCAAAAAAAAGAGAGAGCCTCGACTTTTCCGAGAGTGCCATGTTTTGGAGGGACAGTTTTTTTAGTAACCATATCATAAAACAGAAGGTCTATTCCACACGTAGTGTGGGGTATATTTTATACACCGTCTCTGAGACTAAGAATAAAGATTATTAGGTCCATTATAGCGGCTAGCTTTCGCATATATAGCCTCCACCAGACTTCAGTTCACAGGGGATGGCAAGTGTAGAAATTGGTCAAACAGACAGATAATATGGAACGAGTTGGTTCGCTTATAGTTTGCTGCAAACAGTACTTTTGCGCACTAACTCCCCTGGCATGTTGTCGGTCTATCTGGTCAATTTCTACTCTTTCCAGCCGCCTTTGAAGCCTGGTAGAGGCTAGCTTTCACAGTCACATTTCCGAATCGATGCCCCGCCCGGTGGTTTAAATTTACAGGCTGTATTTTTTTACTTTCGGGCGGGGCTCCGTCGGGCTCCCAGTCGGGCTCCCAGAGGCTGCCGAGCTTGTGAGACCGGTAAATTTACCCCGGTAGATGTCCTGTCGATTTGGTTATGCTATGGTTTGGTTCTTAACTCACCTGTGGTTCCCCAGCCGGTGGTGTAACACTCGGTCCCGGCAGGTGTGTCGGCCTCAGGCAGACAGGCCGGGCTCACCTGGTCCGTCAGCTCCACAGGTGAGCTCAGCTTCATCAGCGTCAGGTCATTCTGCACGGTGTTACTGTTCCAGCTCTGTCAGGGGTGGGATGGCAGGGCAACAGCATCATACTTTATTGCACAGCAATTGTACAGGGTACAAAGTATGGCACCCACTGCCCCTCCACCGGCCTAATTAGGAATAGATGGACAAAGGAAGGCCAAAACGAGCTAAATTACATGTTGTGGCCCAAACCAAGGGGTTAAAAATCAAGTTTTAAACCTCCTTGCTCAAACATGTAAGAGGCCAGGAAGTCTTTTGATACGATTTTGGCGTTACCTGGTGCACGATGACCTTCGTCACACTGCGGGACTGCTGTGTGGGGTCCTGAGTGTTGCGGTGTTCTTTCCCGAGGAGGATGGTCCATGGCGAGGGACTTGTTCTCCTGGTGTGTGACAGACGACATTATAAAGATCTGGTTGCACACTGACACGGAAAACCTACGCATGCCCTGTCTAAACCGGGAACCTCTGAGATCGCAGGGGAAAATATTTTACAAAGGAAGTTGTTTTACAAAGGAAGTTTTTTTTCCCCTGAAATATGCAAACACACAATTTTGCACGAGATCGGATATGCGTAACGCATCTTTGCCCAACGATGACGCCAAACTTGAATTAACCCTTCCCTACCCGTCCACGCAGTGAGCGGCTGTGAGGACCCACTCCGGGTGGATGAGCGTGCCGCCGCACGTGTGCGAGCCGCGGTACCGGAGGGAGATCTGCCAGGGCCAGCTGCCCGGCACCGCCACGGTCCCGCCGACAACGCGCGCCAGAGACGGCGGGATGGCCGGGAGGCCGCACGAACCCTCTCCCGCCAGGGGAGCTGGGGGAGAAAAGATAGAGACCGAATTTTTATTCTATCGAATAGTAGATCGGATTTCGATTCTATCGAATATTAGACCGAATTTTGATTCCATCGAATATTAGCTATAGACCGAATTTCAATTCTATCGAATGCTAGACCGAATTTCAATTCTGTCGAATGATATTCAATCCCATACATTGATACCTTGCGTATACTTTTGTCTACAGTGTATGTTTAACAATTTTAATGCTGTCTTTCGTATGATTGAGCTCACGTACGACTTGGCATTTACACGGGTTTTCACTACTACCGGTTTACATTACAGCCAAGGCCAAAGTCAAACATGTTCACCTCGAACACCTGCCACTTTCCCAAACACTTACCACATTTCGGGACGTCGCAGTACTCCCATCGCAGCCCGGGGTCGGTGGTGTAGCACCACGGCCCGGCCGCGGCGTCAGGGTTCCGGCAGTAGTTGTTGTCCAGCCCCGCGCCCGGTGTGTTAGCCGGGGAGAACTGGTGGCTGTGCGGGCTCTGCTGGTCCCACCGCTGGCACGTCAGCCCAGAGGACGTCACGTTTGTCTCCCCTCTGTAGAGCGCCCCCGTGCCGGTATAACAGTCTAAAAGAACCCAACACACTTATCGATAAGAGGAGGGGTAACCTGATGTGCTTGGCTAAGATGCGCGAGTCATTGCTCTATATAACGAAGATGCATCGCCTGGTTTACCTTTACATGCACATGCATATTGCGTTTGGGGAGGTACTAGTAGTAACAGTTTCATAGTAAGTGCAGTGTCAGAGAGGTGTATGAACGCAAGCTAGTGTTTTTGAGGTCGACAAATTGAACTATTGCTATCTGGGGCTTACAAATGGCGTGTCGATGTCGCAAGCAATGCACTCATCCAGTGGTGTCCTAACTTTTTTTTCTCATTTCGTCATCGCACTATGGCTGCAATAACTGTGACGTACCGCAGGATTTGACGGGGCAGTACTGCCAGCGGACGCTAGGGTCCAGGGTGTAGCACCACGGTCTCTCCGCGCCGTCAGGGTTACGGCAGTAGTTCTCAGACAGGTCGTAAACGCTGTACTCCTAAATAAATATGGAAGAAAAGGTGAGGAAAAGGTATAAAGCCATTTATTTCAGCTTTATTTACAACAAAATGTAAAAAGGTTGGGGGAAACAGGAACACTCCTTTTTAATGCCCCCACCAATATAAACTGATAAGAATTACATAAATAATAAACAAAATAAACAATAACAAAAATCATAACAATCATTGACAAATCTACTATAAACGTCTAAGGAATGGACTCTTTTCACATATTGTAAAAAATTGTGTCGACTTGCATATCATCATGATATTGCAGAGGTAAGATATTTTGGACTTTTGTTGAGAATGCATAAAGCTTCAGGCAATCAGAGATGGTAGTCTTTACCATGCCGACCCTTCCAGTCTCGCAGACAAGGGAAATAGCAGCACAGAGGGTTGGCAAGGCAAAATGGTGTGTATAGGAATTTCGGAAAAGCAGAGAGACAGAGACAGAGCCTGAGAGACAAAGATAGAGACAGACAGACAGGCAGGCAGGTAGTACAGGTAGTAAGTAATTACTAGTGGTACTAACAACTCCGTACCGAGTCGGGCAGGAACTGGTGCCCGTGCGGGGTCTGATCCTCCCAGCGCTGGCACACCAGACCGGCGTCTGTAGTGTTCACCTGTCCTCGGTAGGAGGCGCCGTTTCCCACAAAACAGTCTGGAACGATAGACCCAAATGTGTATGTATTACATGTGTTAAAAAACTTTCGTAAGTTAGTCTTGCGAGTCCAACAACTTGCTCCAGCTACCGCCAAGGTTGAAGTTAATGCTGAGGTCACAACCCGGGGCCCGGCCGGACAGTTTGCGGGAACGAAAAGTATGATATAAAAGACAACATACAAAAACTTTTAATAGGCGTCCTGTAAGTTTTTATAATCTTGATATGAATTTTTCGTTCACACAAACAGTCCAGAAGTGTGACCTTTAATGAACACTGAACTACAATAAATAGCGGTTTGGCACGCATTGATTCTAGCAAGAAACCTGTCAGAGATAGAGAGTTGATATTTCGAAAACTTACCATCATCTTCCTGTGCGTATGTGGCCGACCAGCAGAGGACACTGACCAGGAATAAACCTATTTTTGTCGTCATCTTATAACTACTAGTATCATCAGATGAGTCGCTTCTCTTAGGCGATCGTAGTTACTTAGTCCCTCTATATACCGCTCGGCCTGGTTATTACACAAGACTGATCCAGGCGCAAATATACCCCTCCTTATCCGGAGACGATATTTTGTAACGCAATATAGAGTAAAGGTAAACAACACAGACGTAATTAGGAACAAACAACGCAATGCTAGATAACAAATAATAGCTCATTGACCTCAGGACGATTGACACCGTGAAAGGCGTAGGACGTTGAAAAATATCCACCTATTTACTCCGTACTAAGATTAAAGCATATATTTAGAATCTCTCAGTCTCCAAGCAGATCTTTTGGTGGCTTCAAGACAGTATCATTGGCAGGTCAGTATCTAACACGCCACCCGTTTGGCTTGCAAAAAAAAGACGCTACAAAAAAGAAAGCCCCATAAAAACGCCTAAAAGCACGTCGAAAATAAGCCGAAGGCTAAAGGTCTGGTTGGAGACTAACCTGTTATGTATTGATACTTCTAAAATTACCACAGCTGAACAAACGCCTCGTAACAGAGGAACAAACAAAAGGTTGTCAGTGCTGTCCGCTAGAACGTCAGAGACAGAGAGATGACGTTTTCTGTCCCGTACGGCCGGTTGGTTGTCCGGGCGTGGGAACATCAGAACAGTTCGTCAGGTGCGACAGAAAAACAACCTCATCTTGTGTTATAGCACATGTCAGAGCACGCCTGTAGGAGGGCCTACATGCCCTTTTTCGTTAACCGTTATGGGCTATTTTAATTTACCGTTAATCGTTGCCGACCCGCTCTAATTCAACGTTAAGCGTTATCAGTATATTCATCGTGAAGCGTTATTGGCCGTTTTAATTCAACGTAAAACGTTATTTGTCATCCTAAATTCAGCGTTAAGCGTTAATGAATAATTCTTCGTTACGCCTAATTTTGCCTTTCAAAGTGCAGGAAAATGCGTCATTGAAGGTTTAAAAATACAAAATTTCCAGGGGGAGAATGCCCCCGGACCCCCCTACATTGCTCGCGCCTTTGGCGCTCGACTCGCGCTTATATGCGCTCGGTCCCCTTCGGCTCTAGCCAGCACCAGTTTTCCGTCAATTACCGGAAGTTTGCGGAGCGTTACAGAATTTTTTAACGAATCCGTCAACCTTGACAGACAAAGCGAACAAAAAAACTTAAGGAAAAATATGAAAGCATCAGAAGAACCGACAAACACTCTCAACACCATGATTTGCCTCTCAAAATGTGGGAAATTGCGTTTTTGGAGGCTTAAAAATCTTAAATGTCCCGGGGAGCACCCCTCGGAACCCCTTAGATTGCGAGCGCCTTCGGCACTCCACTCTCAATATCCATCGGTAAAACTGGGCGGACGGAAAAAGGTAAGCTGGGTAGAGCCTTGGCCGACGTCGACTCGGACTCCCCTTTATTTGTGGACGCATTAGGGGACCAAATCCAGTGCAACTCGAAAAAAGCCTGTCAATTTACCGTTAAGCGTTGCCGACCGTCCTGAATTTACCGTTAAGCGTTATCGGTCCTACTGAATTTACCGTTAACCGTTGCCAGGACCCCCCCATGCAGACCCTCAACGCCACTTGGCAGAAAGGTGGTCCAGAATGTTTGCCGGAGCATGGGCTACTTTAAATTTGGCGGCACAGCCTTTATTGTTATTTTGCAGACGATTTTCGTGTCGGCTGTGAGCTGTGCCGCCATTGGGGGCTAAGCAGAAGGACGGGGGCAAAGCAGAATTGCGCCGGGGGCGTAGAGGAACGACGGGGGCGAAGCAGATTTTTTGCGGGGGCGAAGCAGAACGGGGCGGGGGCGAAGCAGAACGGCGGGGGCGAAGAGGAAGGAGTTTCATGGGGGTGTCTAAGTCCTGCTGGTTTTCTGGCAGATTCTGGGACCTTCTAATTACCCCATTTCCTGTTTCTGAACTTTCGACCTCCTGTAATGCTTAGGTCACAATTCAAGAAAGGGGCCCGCTCGGCGCGTGTTCGGCGTGTTTTTTGGCACTACCGAACGGGACCTGGACGGAGACCGGCGGGCTTCCCGACGGCTGCCGGCCTATTTTTGGCCCCGCGCGGTCGCCGAATCGATTTTAACTCAGAGTTAAAAACACTTCGGGCCCCGTTCGGCGAAATACGCCGAAGCGACGCCGTAACCTCACTGCCCGGGACCCGTCGGGCGGCCGAACAGGCACCTGCCTAAGATTATGACGTCACATGTGCTGATCAGTGCATCAGATGGTCAGGAAAAGGGGCTTATAAGGAGCATATATAAACTCCTGCTTCAGACTACGTCGCACAGTTCACCACGTGTGTGTTACATCGTGTACTTGTGTGTGTTACACCTTGTATTTGTGTGTCAGAATGTCGAAGGGCAAGGGAAAACAGCCGGCACGGCTCTCTTGCCAACTTCATAAAACAGATC